CTTTAGTGTAATTTTTTTTATTCATAATTTGACAAAAGAAATAATACTAAGTAGCTTAACTGTTGAGATTCAATGTATTAGAATCTCATCTTCCTTAACGTACAATATGTACTGAGTTAGATTCTCAATGCTTTTTAGATACAAAAAGAGACATAGCATTCTTTACATAATGAATTCCTAATCTTACTCATTATAGGATCTAGGTTTTAATACACAATCCTACACTATTAAATCCACATAAAATATTGGAGTCTTTTATTAAATCATATTATGAATTATAATATTGTCTTATTATCATGACCAAATTAACTTAACGTAATTTTAATAAAATACAAAAACAAATCATATAAGTTCACACTTTAACTTTAAGAAAAATCTAAAAATATATTTCCAAAAAACCCTAATTGAAGGAGTGAATGTTGATAAAGGAAAGGAAGTCATAAATTACAAATATACATATAATCTTAAAACAATTACGTAAAACCGTGAATGTTGAAGAAAATTTTCTCTTAAATGTATTTAAAGTTCCAAGGAAGCATTGTTTCATTAGCGACGAAGAAGATCAATACTTTTACATCCCAAGTTTGAGGCCAAACATATTTACTCATTTAGTTTAGAGATGTTCATGGGTCGTGTTAAGTCGAATAATATTCGATTGACACCTTAAAAACTTAGTACCCAACTCAAGTCTAACTCAAATGTTAGGTTTATTATTAATATAATCATGTTCTTCTGTTGTGTTTGGTCCTAAAAGACCATGTCTAGTATTCAACCTAAGTTAGACAAGGCCCATTTGCCTGATGATTAATTTGATATGTGGACACTTCTAGTTTGATTCAATTTTATGTTCATTTTATTAATTTGCTTAATTTGTTAATTAATTTTTTACATTAAATGTAATAGTTATGTTATATATTTGAAGGATTGGTTGACCATGATTGCAATTTTCCTTATAAATGTAATCTTATAAACAAGAAGAAAATAACAACAAAAAATCAAAATGGATATTAGATGGAAAGATGAAATGATGTAGAGAGTAAATATTGATGATAATTAAATTATTCCTCTTGACCCATTCCCATTCTTGTGATTTTTGTCTTGGTTTTTTATATTCCTTTTTGTTATATTCATCCAAAAAAAAGAATAATTTTCTTTGTAGATTTGTAGAAGTGAATACTCAATACGTTCTGCAATTAGCCTCAAAATCAATATCTGCCAGCCGAGGATGCCAATAAATGTATGTACCAAAGACAAGGGAAGAAAGGTGGATCCAAGTGATTGGACTTTCTCCACGTGTCCATGCCGTGGCCGAAAAAAAATTTAAAAAGGGTGAAGCCTGTTCTCCGTACCAATATCCGGTTTTTGTCCTTTCCAATGAATGCCGGTTTCGTCAAGTGGACAACTTCCAATCTGTGGGCACTCTTTGACTCTTCAACTGGTGGATATATGAAGCGATCAACGCTTCAAGTTTCAACATCTTTCATAGTATTTTATATTTTCAATTTAAAATTTTTTTTTCTACCTTCTGGGTCAAGAAATCTCATTGAATTGATCCACCCCATTATTTATTGGGTGAGAATTGAGTCAAAACAGCTTTGATTAAAGCAGTCTATGAGATAATTATATATATGTATATATATATATGCACGATTGAGAAATCAATTATATTTTTTATACGTATATTAGGATCAATATGGTGTAAAAATATTTATTTGAGTCACACGAAATGAGAAAATTTGCATCGATTTCATAATTTTTAATCAAAAATCCAAACTTAAAATTTTCAAAAGACAATGATCTCAAGTTTAAAGTCAAATTATGTAATTAATTCTTTTTTTTATTTTGAAAAGTGATTTTATTGCACCTTAAGTCTCCATGTCATTTAAAGTCTTTTATCAATTGTTAGAGAGTTCTTTTGGTATTAGGTTTGAGGGAAAGAGAGATATATTTTATATAATTAGGTGGCGTTTGGTATTTTACAATGCAATGTGATTATAAGTAATATGATTGCAAGTAATGTGATTACAAGCAATGTGATTATAGAGAAAATAACATTACAGTATTTAGTATGCAAGCAAAATAATGATAAAAATGTAAAAAAAATAACATTACAGCGTTTGGTTTATAAGTATTTTGTTGGGAATGTAATGTTAATTTTCAAAATTACTCATAATTATTAAAATATAAGTTTAATATATTTATATTTCTTATTATTAATTTTTATATAATATCATCTCTTAAATATATTTTTAATGTCATATATTTTATTTTTATTTATTATTATAATTTTATATATTTTATTTTTAATATATTTATATTTATTATTATTAATTTTTATATAATATCATCTCTTAAATATATTTTTAATGTGATATATTTTATTTTTATTTATTATTATAATCTTATATATTTTATTTTTATTTTTTAATATATTTTTTATATTATATATTTTATTTTAATTTGTTTTACCTATATTATATAAATTTTAATTTTTTATATTTTATTTTAATTTTTTATTCTTATTTTAATATTTTTTATTTTAATTATAACAATATAAAATATTTTTAATAAGGTAATAAAGTTGAGGGATAAAATTATCTTTAAGAACATTGCAGAGTGCAATATAATATAATTGCATTGGTTTGAACTGCAATCACATTACATCCCTTGACTGTAATGTGATTGCATTGCAATCTTACATTGCAGTGGTCTGTTGTAAAATAAACACTGTAATATAATTTAATTGGATGCATTACAAGGAATGTGTTCTCACTTCCTTAGATACCAAATGTCACCTTAGTTCTTATATTTTATGAAAGTGATAGATTTAGTTTTTTACAATAATTTGTAAATATTAAATTTTTATATATCTCGAAATTGACAATGTCAATTCAATAATTAACGGTGTTAAAAAATTTTCCATTATACATGGCATTTGATTGAATTATCTTGGTATTTCATGTTGATATAACATTCAAGAATGATGTAATGATCATACTGATGTGACAGTGATTAAACAGAGAAATGGATTTAAAGTAGTGGTGTGATGCTAATATGGACCAATATGTTAGTATATTTTGCGATTTACATGTAATAAATGCTAGATTTTGGTATTGATTAAGAGCTTCAAGATGAGAAACTTCAATCATTTTATAAACTAGCAGTATATTTAGTTGGAGAATAGAATAGTTATTTCTCTCCTATTTCTATTACCTAGCTATTTTCATATTTGGTAATGGTCATTCCTTGAGAAACCAAAATAACTATTACTAAGAAGCGACCTTGGTAATGACTATTCCAAACTTGGGAAATAAAAAAAATACTACTATACAAAATTACTTTTTATATATTGTAAAAATTAACCTTTGATATAATATGTAATTTGATCATTTTCACATTTCATTTCTCTCTCTACCTATCTTTCTCTCTCTAAATTAAATTAAAATTTTAATATAAATTATGAAACTTAATATTGTAAATTTAAAAATCAAATTAAAGTTTTAATATAAATTATAATAATTTACATGTATAATTAAAAAATTCAAATAAAATTTTAATTATAAATTAAAAATAATTTTAACTTTAAAAATAATTTTAAGTATAAAATTTTAATATTTTAAAAATTAAGAATAAAATAAAATAATGGTGTTAATATTTTAATTATAAATTATTAATATTTTAAATGAAATATAAATTCTTAATATTCTAAAAATAAAGTAAAAATAAAAATAAAGAATCATATTAAAATTTTAAATAATAATTTTGGCATAGCTTTTTTCTATATGAAGCTTTTATGAAAAATAATAACTCTTAGAATTAAGCTGAAGTTGTTTGGTAATTTATTTTTTATAAGTTCTTTTTTATAAGTTATAATTTTGGTTAAAATTAAAGGGTATTTTTTTTGAGTGAGAGATATGTTGTAATTATTTTTAACAGATGAGGATATTTTTAAAATAAAAATAATTTTTTTTATATTTTTAAAAAAAGAGAAGAAAAAGCTATTCATAGGAGCTTTTCCTAAAACTCTTTTTTAAAAAATTTTATTTTTAAAAAAAATTATTTTTTTTAAAAGCTTTTCAAAATTTATGTTTGGCCTAATTTTTACTTTTAAGAGATAGATAAATTAAAAAAAAGCTAAACCAAACAAGCACTTAATCATATTTTTAATAAATTATTTAAAAATTAATATTTAAAATTTAAAATCAAATATTACAACAAAAGTTATTTTTATTTTATTATCACCTATTCTTTTACTATTTTAAAACTACTTTTACCAATTAAACATTGAAATAAGCTATAATAGTCATTTCTACTTCATTTCATTCCTTGAACTAAATTACATCATAGCTATTCTTACCATATTCCATTATTATAAAATACTTATTCTATTTTCTCTTTATTTTATTTCATAAACTAAACATATCTTTAAGTGTAATAATTATTATTTAGAAGATTGTAAAATTAATATCACGTCATTAAACTCAAATTGTATATTAGTAAAAATAATAAATATATTTTAAATTTATCATTAATAATTGAATTGGCATGATGAATTTTGAAAAGTAGATGATTTTTATAAATTATTGTATATAGATTAAACCTATGATTTAACTAATGGTTTAGTTTGAGCCAAATTTAACAAAGTCAACAACGGGAGTGGCAGGTTAGGAACAAAGTTAGAATTCCTTAAGACAAAGAGACGCATGGTTCACAAGACACACGAGGGAGGGGAGGGGCAGGGAAGGGACGCCGGTTTTCTGTGGCTATTCCCCTGGAGGAAAGAGACAGGGAAGGGCATTTCAGAACGATTGAGAAAAACGTAAACTACCTAAAATCAATGTGTGTGGTGTAAAAGCAAGTCCTGTTATAAGAAAATTTAACCGCAGTTAACTTAGGAGTTAGGTGGGTTTGACTAGTCGGGTTTGGTAGGCGTTGGGTTCGTTCACTCCCTCCCATTCCCTCCACCTCTGCCTCTAGCCAGCTTTTTAAGGTCCCAGCACTCTCCTACCCCCTTCCCTCTTTCTCTTAGAGAAGTCTCTCGCAACTCTCAACCGCCACCAAACTCCCAACAACACCAGTTTCCAACAAAGAGAGATCTTCTCCAAATCTCCTCCGTTTCTGCATTTACACTTCCTTAGGCTTGATTTGCAACACTAATGGAACCGTCATCTTCTTCTGGTTCAATCAAAGTTTCGCCGCTCGATCTCATGTCAGCTATAATCAAGGGCAAAATGGACCCTTCCAACGCTTCCTCCGACTCAGCTGCTGAAGTGGCCACAATCCTTCTTGAGAACAGAGAGTTCGTTATGATTTTAACTACCTCCATCGCCGTTCTCATCGGCTGCGTCGTCGTTTTGGTCTGGCGTAGATCCGGTTCTCAAAAACCAAAGCAAATCGAGCCTCCTAAGCCTTTGATCGTTAAAGAACCCGAACTCGAAGTCGATGATGGCAAGAAAAAAGTCACCATCTTCTTCGGTACTCAAACCGGCACCGCCGAAGGCTTCGCCAAGGTTCCATTATATATATATATATATATATATATTTGTATATTTTCTATTCTTATTTGTTTTTCTTGATAATTTTTTGCTTATTAGATCTTTCTTTTATTTAATGTGACTCAGGCTCTAGCTGAGGAGGCAAAAGCACGCTATGATAAGTCGACGTTTAAAGTTGTAGATTTGGTAAGTTTTAATTTTGACTTTTTTCCCCCCTTTTTGGTGATATGTTTTGAGCTGGAATTGGTGATTTAAACTATTGATATATTTTTTTTACACTATAAATAGGATGATTATGCGGCTGATGATGATGAATACGAGGAAAAGATGAAGAAAGAGAGTTTGGCTTTCTTCTTCTTGGCCACGTGAGTTATTTTGAATAATTTTCTTTTTGATATTTATATGTTTTTTCTTTTTGGGAATTTGTTTTGCTGATATGGTTAAGTTGGTGAACCTCTAGATATGGAGATGGTGAGCCGACTGATAATGCAGCTAGGTTCTATAAATGGTTCACTGAGGTAAATTTTAATTGTAATTAGTCGAGGATAATAATGAGTGCAATTGTGTTTAGTGAAAAAATTATGTAGGATGACATTTTTTAATTGGCTGTTATTGTGAATGTCTGATTGGGTGTTTAGGGAAAAGAGAGGGGAGAACGGCTTCAGAACATGAAGTACGGGGTGTTTGGCCTTGGTAACAGGCAGTATGAACATTTTAACAAGGTTGCAAAGGTGGTTGATGACCTCCTTACTGAGCTGGGTATGTGTCTTCATTTTCCTTTTATCTCCCCTTGCATATAAATGGATGCATTGGTTCATGGATTTTTAATTGGTTTACTTTTAAAAAATGGCTTCTTGGACGCAAATTATGCTGTTAATGTTTGCTAACTATTTAATTTTTCATGAATTATGATAGTGCTTCAAAATTTTTCAGAGTTAAATTATCATGCATATGATTGAATTTCAATAAATTGCAATCATGTTGGTGTACTATCAGAAGTTTCATCCCACCATTTCAGTATAAAAGACTCTATTTATTACTTTTGTTTTTTGATGTTTGTGATGGGAATAGTTTATGGAAAGATGACTGCATATGTTTAATATACATCTTTTTGATCAAAGAAAGCAAGCATTTAACTTTTTAACTTTAATCTATGTATGTAATATTCAGCTTTAGTAACCTGTTAGTATATCTTTTGTTGTGGCTGATTACACTAGAAAACTTAACATACATTACAATGCAGATCTAAAAAGTGCACCTTTTGATGAAAATTTTAGCCTTCCTTTGTTTCAAATTCATGCAATTGGATGTGGCATTGTGGTTTTGGTGTAGTGAATTGACTCTTGACATGTAGCCAAAATGTTTATATTAATATATTCAAATTTTCAAAAGAAATCTGCTGATGCAGAAATGCTGAGTTCATGTAGTAAAAGATTGCTTTACCAGTCATATATGATGTTGCATTGGAACTTCTATCAGCTAACATTCCCCTTACTATATTTGTAGGAGCAAAGCGCCTAGTTCCAGTGGGTCTTGGAGATGATGACCAATGCATTGAAGATGACTTTACTGCATGGTATCAAAAACTTGAACTTTGTTTTGAATCAAAAGCTGTCCATTCTTTACCTTTATTTGTCATTAAACTATCTTGCTATGGTTGCTTTTCTAGGCGTGAATTAGTCTGGCCTGAGTTAGATCAGCTTCTGAGGGATGAAGATGATGCAAGAACTGTTTCTACCCCTTACACTGCTGCTGTGTCAGAATACCGTGTTGTATTTTATGATCCTGCTGATGCACCTGTTGAGGATGAGAACCGGAGCAATGCAAATGGTCATACTATTTACGATGCTCAACATCCATGCAGGTATACTAGAATATTTTGTTCTCATTGTCAAGGTGGCCATTTTATTTTATATTCTTTTTTGATGAAATCTTAACTGGTTTCTTGTTCTAACTTGAAGGTCTAATGTTGCTGTGAGGAAGGAGCTTCATACTCCTGCATCTGATCGTTCTTGCACCCATCTTGAATTTGACATTGCTGGCACTGGACTTTCGTAAGTTGCTTTTATGTCATTTGGCTACTGTACTGTTAAACTTTTATTGTTGCAATAATGCACCCTCCCCCACTCCTCTTTTCCTCCTCTCTTATAACCAGGTGCTGATTGCTGCTTGTTTCAAATTTTCTTTTAACATCATACTGAACTTCGTCTATTCATAATCATCTTCCTCTTCAGGTATGAAACAGGGGATCATGTTGGTGTTTACTGTGAGAATTTAGATGAAGTTGTAGATGAAGCATTGACGTTATTGGGTTTATCACCAGACACCTATTTCTCTGTTCATACTGATAAAGAGGATGGGACGCCACTTGGTGGAAGCTCTTTGCCTCCTCCTTTCCCACCTTGCACTCTAAGATCAGCATTGGCACAATATGCTGATCTTTTGAGCTCGCCCAAAAAGGTTGGACTATTTATTGGTCACTATGTCAAGAACTTTTCTTTTTATTTTTCTTTTGAATAACTATGCTAATTCTTTAATGCATGCAATGTCCAGTCTGCCTTACTTGCTTTGGCTGCTCATGCTTCTGATCCAACTGAAGCCGATCGATTAAGACACCTTGCATCACCTGCTGGAAAGGTTGTGGAAGTAGTGAATTTTATTAGCTTGGTTCGTCTATTTTGCAGCTTATGTGTATGCTGATACAACTTCTGGCACGTTATTATTCAGGATGAATATGCACAATGGATGGTTGCAAGTCAGAGAAGCCTCCTTGAGGTCATGGCTGAATTTCCTTCAGCCAAGCCTCCACTTGGTGTCTTCTTTGCAGCTGTTGCTCCACGGTTGCAGCCTAGATACTATTCAATCTCATCCTCACCAAGGTAATCCTATTATATTATCTTCTCTCTCTATCTTTTTGGCAGTAGCTTTTTAAGAGGAAAATCTCCAAAGGGAGCTTGCCCCTTTGAGAAAATGATTCCACACTTTAGATCACAATGGAGATAATTGTTATCCAATTCAGCGATCTTCCATTTTTTTTAATTTTTTTTGCACTTCCTACATTAGCAATGAAAAAGCATTCTAAATAGCAAGGTTAGGAAATGGATTAGAGCCAATTAAGTTAGTAGCATTATGAATCTCTCATTTATGAGACTTCGACTGTCTCTGATTTCATGATCTATTCTAATTCTAATATTTTTAACTGTACTGTATGCATATTTACCATCTATAAATATGTTTTACAGGATGGCACCGTCGAGAATTCATGTAACTTGTGCATTGGTTTATGAGAAAACACTAACAGGTCGTATTCACAAAGGAATTTGTTCAACATGGATGAAGGTACTCAGTTCAACATGTTTTCTTTTTCTCTTTTACATAGTTAGGGAAGGTCAACCTTTAAAGTTAATGGAAATTGAGATGATATTTTTGAGGAGATAAATGATATGTAATTCCTGGATACCACCGAACAAAGGATCCTTTCCTTTTTATGTTTTTGATCATATCTGAATTTCACAGTCTATTCTCACTTCCAAGGCAAACTTGCTAACTTATTAACATCCGTTTTTCCTCTCTTATTATTATATGTCCAGGTTGTTTACTGAATCTCTTCATTGAATAATAGTAATATAATTTTTATCCCCATTTGCCCCCTTTGTTTTTCAGAATTCTGTGCCCGTGGAGAAAAGCCATGAGTGCAGCTGGGCACCTATATTTGTCAGGCAATCAAACTTTAAACTTCCTTTAGACACTAAAGTGCCCATTATTATGATTGGCCCTGGTACTGGATTGGCTCCTTTCAGGGGATTCCTTCAGGTAAGTGTTGTCACTTTTTTAACGTTCATCATATTGAGAATTTTAAGAAAACTAATTATTTGTATATTCATTTTCAGGAAAGACTTGCACTGAAAGAAGCTGGAGCTGAACTGGGTCCATCTGTATTATTCTTCGGCTGTAGGAACCGGAAAATGGTAAGTGATGCAGGTTCCAGTCCTATGAATAGTTTGACATCTCTGGTGGGTTTGGGGATATATATGTAATCCAACTACAAAGTTTAATTTAATACTTTTTTTTTTCCAGGATTACATTTATGAAGATGAGCTCAACAACTTTGTCAACAGTGGTGCACTTTCTGAGATTGTGGTTGCCTTTTCACGTGAGGGACCTACCAAGGAATACGTGCAACATAAAATGACGCAGAAGGTACGGGACACATTTTACCTACCATGAACTGTAGGATAGAAGCTTTTGAAAGTTTTTTTTTTTTTCTGAGAAATTGTATATTTCAGTTTGCTTATCAGTTTCTTATCTAAAGTTCTAAAGACATTTATTCCTTGTTTCCAGGCCTGGGACATCTGGAACATGATTTCTCAGGGAGGTTACCTATATGTGTGTGGTGATGCCAAGGGCATGGCTAAAGATGTCCATCGAACTCTACACACTATTTTGCAAGAGCAGGTATGTTCATCATGCTTATTCTGAGACTATATAACTGCTAATTATGAGTTATGTGATTCCCAGCTCCCATTTTAGAAGGCAATGTGGTTGAAAAAAGCTATTGCCACCTTTTGTCAGTTTATGGTCCAACATTAGAAAAGTTTTCCTGTTGTTTTTAGATATTTTCATGCCTTAATGTTGAAAACTGTGACATTCATATGGTGCATGAAAGCTCCCTTTCTCTTTTCTTGCATTCAATGCCATGCCATTTCCCTTTTTCTATTAATATAATGAGTTGGGAAGAGGAGTATTTGCTGGACATGATTTTAAATTGCCCGTTATGCTAAAAGTGGGTGCACCAACTTTGGTGGTTTCAGGGATGTCTAGACAGCTCAAAGGCTGAGAGCATGGTGAAAAATCTGCAAATGACTGGCAGGTATCTACGTGATGTGTGGTGATGATTACAATGAAATACAAACAAAAATATATATATATATATATATATATATATAGGGAAGGGCATATTGTTTGGATGCAAGAAGCTGGAGAGAAGGGTGGTTGTAATACCACCTTCATCTCTGCCCTTGAAAGGGGGAATTAAATTTGTTGTCATGAATAGTAATGGGGTCTGTGATTCTTTTTGTCTACCAAATATGAAGGATTTTTTGGTTCATGTAATTTATGTATACATATATAACTATAATTATATTAGGTAAGGGTTATGGAGTCTTTAGTTTTCCATGTATGAACCGGGAAGCAGGTTCAAATTACAAAGCAATTGTTGTTGCTACTCCTACACGGTAACTGTACTGAATCTGAATGGATAATCGAAGTTTGGAATCTCAAAGTGATTGCTTCTGTTTCAGCATTTAATTCAAGTAAAATTCATTATCTTCTTCTTCATGGTAGACCGTCAATTTTGCCCTTGCATTACACTTGGATCTGGCTGTTACGAAAAGGTTTGTAATTGCTTGTGCTTGGTTAAAAAATTCATCAAAAGAAATACTTCAATTGAAATGTCAGGTGTTGTGCCCTGGCTGCTAATTCATCTTCTCCAAAAGAAATACAGAGAGGGCAGTTTCCTTGATATCTTATTTGTCACATAGCCCTTGGGGTTTCCAATTTTCTTTGTAAAGGATTAGGTGAATCCAAATCTTGACATCCCACACACCTCATCAAAACTTCTTTGCTAATTTTTCAAAATCAGCCTGCCGCTGCCAGTTGTACCAAATTTTAATTTCTTTTCACTTCTCTGCTGGTTCTTAATGACTCCGTAATTCAGCTTTAATTAAACAATAATGATCAAAATAATCTATTTATAAAGTCCAGGAGAGTAATCATATCAAAACAAGCCAAGCCCCACTTGTCTTGTCAAATCTAATTATTCTAGTTTCCAGTTTAATTAAGCAATTAAGTTAGCCCCCTTTATGCTTCCCTAAACCCCATTTCATTACTCAAAAATACATATAAATAAAAATGGTTTGCTCTTTTACGATTTCGTATGCCTTTACCAAAACCATTTGTAATTAGATTGAGAATAAATATAAAACATTGCATTCATTTGGTGCTGTTGAAAATTGACCCTGAATCGAAAATAAATTATCCAATGCAAGAGGTTCCTAAAAGCATTTGGTCCACTGTCTATTGAACCCTCCTCTTTTCTTTTAATGCTTAATGAAAGGGACCGATTGAACCAACTACTTTGAATTATTGGTGGGCACACACTTGCATCACCACAATTTTCAATAATAATAATAATACTATTGTTTACTAGTATAATGGGTTGTTCTGACTTCTGAGAGCAACACACGTCAACTGGTAGCTCACCTCTTCTTCTCCTGCACTTTGTGCACGTGTACCTCACTATCAACACCCTTTGGTTGGTAAGATTATATTTGTCCTTCCTTTCAACTTAATAATTATTTTCAATAATGAAACTTTTGCCCTTAACTAAAAATTATAATCACAATAACCAAATAGTATATTTGACGTAATTATTATATCGAGCCAAAAAAATAAATAAATAACCTAATCAACAAACAAACTTAACATAGATTAAATTTACATGATATTCGAATTTGATTTTCAAAATCTTCTTAAGATTAAAATAAAATTTTTATGATGATTTGAAATTTTTAAAAATTAATAAAAAATTTAAAACGAGATTCAATCTGATAAAATCACTATAAAAAAAATTTGTTTTAAAGTCACTGATCCAAAGTATAAGTTTCACGTGCATTTTATAGATCCTTATTATACTTTTCAAGGAAATGCTACTATTTTTTGCCCTTGTCACGTGCTTGTGACATTTCAATAATGTAGTAAAGTTGTTTAATCTAATTTTTCTACTTTCACTTGGATCTAAATACAAGATGGATGCTTCACCTTGTGAGATAAAGGAGATCAACATGCTTTTCAAGCAATAGATGAGGCATTTAGACAAGTGACTTGGTTCGTTGATAATTCATTGCTTCTCCATGGATTGCATGAAAACATTTGATAACTATAAAAGAGATTGGTGTGGTCATAAGCAAACTTTGACGTAGGAAGACGCCCATACTAAAAACATTTGGTTATGATCCATTACGTAGAAAATGACTTGCATCCTCTTTGCATTACATCCTGTTTGGCCTAATTTTTTTTTAGTTTAAAAGTTGTTAAGAAGCTTTTATGAAAAATAATAACTTTTAAATAATAACTTTTAGAGTTAAGTTGAAGTTGTTTGGTAAATTTTTTTTATAAGTTATAATTTTGGTTAAATTTATTATAAAGGATTTTTTTAAAAGGGTAATATTGTAATTATTTTTAACAGAAGAGGATATTTTTGAAATAAAAATAAATTTTTTTTTGTATTTTTAAAAAAAGAGAAGAAAAAGCTCCTCATAAGAGCTTTTCCTGAAGCTCATTTTTAAAAAATTTTATTTTTTTAAAAAAAGTTACTTTTTTTAAAAAAAATTTAAAATTTATATTTGATTTGACTTTTACTTTTAAGAAATAGATAAACTAAAAAAAAACTAGACCAAATAAGCACTAAGTCTTTTTGTTTCAAAAGTATGATGAAAGCACTTTTCTTTTTGTTCATAAAAGGGTCAGGCAAAAATTTTTGAGATTTCTTGAAATTTGATAATTGAAAAGATTGAACTTTTATATTTCAGTGTCCAAAAGTTGAGTTACTTATTTAAACTCGTGAACTTGATTTATTTCAAGTTCTAATTTGAACATAAAATTTTAGATTCAAATTTAAATCAATACGGCTCAATTAAATTATTATATTAATAAATAATATATTTTTATTTAATTTAATTTTAAAATTTATTAAACATATATAATTAGTAGTTATTATATTAATAATGAAATAATAACTCAATGAATGAGCCAAGATAGATTCAAGCTTTGCTTTTAAAAAGAAAGATACCATAAGCCAGCCTAGCTTAGCCCAAAGTCAAAGTAAGCAATTTCATGAACATCTTTCCAATTTCGATCCACTTCTCATCAAGCAGATGTCAAACCACCATGAGAATTTAAGGCTAAGCACTGATCGACCATGCCGATTAAGGGTGGTAGCTTCCAATTGTTCACCTTGACTGCCGTTAAGGAATCTTTCCCTTAACATCGACCGAATGACTAACTTTTTTATTTTTTTTTAATTATATTTATATGGGGGATTACATATTTACCCCTCCTCATAAATTCCCCCACCAACTCCTGCATCACACACTCACACCTTTTTAAACCTTAAAGCCCAAAATCAAAACCTTTTTCCAAAGCCCAATACCGCCTAACTAACTTCATAACCTACTGGTGAAAATTAAACTAGATAAACAACTTAAAGAAGTCCGAGATGTGATACATTATCTTTAAGGATGATTTCTATCCCTTTGCAATATGAAACTTCTTGAATAAGTTGCACAATAGAAACAAATAAACACTGAAAATATTCTAGTGAGATATTGGAGGATAGGGAATCAAAAAATAAATAGGAAAACTTTGATTTTGTAACAATTTAATTATAACGGTTGGTATTTATATTTTGGTTGGCAGAATCAAAGACAACAAAATATCACTTGGGCCTAGCCCATGTGTATAGTAATGCATAGAGGGAAATCCGCATTTTCTCAAGGCTTGGCACGATTTCATGTGCGTGCAAGACCACTTTCTTTTATAGCTTTCAACAAACCCACAATTAGTTGCTTATTGATAACTCTGTTACATAAAGTAATTTTTAACACATTTTAGGGACTTTTAGTGGCTAGGCTAGATTTTTGAGTTTATGACCAAATTTTAACCCTTGTTAGCTATGTTTCTAGTGTAAGTTAAATTTTATATTGATTAGTCAACTTTGTTGTTTTTAGTTTAATTTCACTTTAATTTATCTCAATTTATCTTAGGAAAAGTTATTGCTGATTTTCTCATGATTTTGTGCAGAATATGACGAGTAAGGTGAGAGGAAGAGATGATAGCATAAGTGCATCACTTGTATATGTTGCAGCAATTTAAAGATAACTTGAGCTACAAAACTCCAGTTAAGGTAATTTTTAATTCATTGGAAAGATAAGACAATGGGCTATAACTTTTATATTTACCATTTGGTCCAATTCAAAATAATTAAGGCAAAAATCATGTTTAAATTTAGTGGAGAAACGTAGTTCTACACTGAAGTAACATGGCTGGAGCGCCGCGATGCTTCAAGTGCGACTGCCACAACGGTAATGAACTATGGTCATCGCGCTGCTCATCAAGGGTGCATCATACAAAAACCCAAGAGCATAGCACCGTGGCACTCCCAAGGCAGATCATAGTGTTGCAAAGCCAAAAAAACATGGCCGTAGCACCGGGCGATTTTTCAAAAATAAAGATTTCACAGGATTTTGGAAATTAGATTACTTGGAGCCTATTTAAAGAACTTTTTTCAAAGGTTTTAAGGGGGAGGCAACAAGAAACTATTCTAGAGATTTGAAGCCAAGAACAAAGTAAGAAAATAAGAGAATTGGAGAGAGAATTAAGATCGCAAAGCTTCAATAATTAGTTTCTTTCTCTATTTTTGTGTTTTTCTTATTTTCTTTGACATTCATAGCTAAATTTCTTTAGATATTATTTTTGTTAGATATTATGAACTAAACTATTTTTCTAGGATCGTGGTGGATTTCAACATATAGTTTAAATAACAATTTCTTTTTTATTTATCATGAATGGGTGTAGTTTTGCTTATTCAAATTTGTTCTTAATGCTTTTGATTGTCTGGCCAACAATTAATTGATTTGTAAATCTAATTGAGACTCAACAGAGAGATTTTAGATTGGACTAAGATTTGAATAGTATATATCCACGTCACTTAGGTGATTTGATTCGTGATTCAAGTAGACATACGCTAATTGCCACACATAGTCACATTAGGACACTTGATTAATGAACTTAATTTAATTCATTCTTATATACATATAGTGAACTAATTAAGTTAGGTATTTGTACAAGCAACTAGACGGAGACTTGTCCATAGCTTTGGATTCTAGGTTAGTAAAACCATCCAAGAACGATAAATAACAAGAAATGGTGGTATCAGATGAAATGTTGAATGAACCCATAATCTTAGGTCTTTAATTTACTAGTTTTCTCAACTTATTTAGTTTGTTAGCTTATTTGATGTTGATTTTTTAATTGTTTTTAATTAGTTTGTCTTCAATTTTCAGATTATTCAAGTAAGATTAGTGTGCTTTATAATTTTAGTACTCAGTGAAACTTTAGAAATAAATCCTTATGGGAACGATAATCTAGACTTATTGTATATATTATTTGTTCAATACGTATACTTATGTGTGCAAAATCAACAACACTTATATAAGGCATTAACATCTTTTATACCTAGGCAATGTGGGATAGAAACTTTATGAGATGTCACCATATGTCCAATAATCTCTCACATATTTTATAAGGTTTCATAATAGAAAGTTTTTGTTGGGCTTAATCTCACTCGAGTGTAATACATCAAGACTAGTATTTTTTGAGTTATGAACTAAATTTAGAAAGAATGGTGAAGTTTATAACTTAAATGAACAAAAAATTCTTTATGTGAAATATGATTTTTAACAATCACATAACGCCCCTCACATTTTTATTATTCAATACGATTTTACGCAAATAGGCCATACACGTGCTTGGTTATTCATAATGCTCCAGAGAATTTGCCACAATTTTCACAGGAACGACCCTATTCCACACTTATATAAGTGATTCCATCAAGTGTATATTGTAATTTAATACACTATTTATAAGGTATATGAAATTCATTAAGAGTTTAACTCAACCTCTCCTTCATTGCAGTTTTACACTATTTATGCATAATACGAAGGATGATAATTTTAATAGTGCATCAATTTATTAACAAATAATTTGTTTTTACCTATATAAATCTAATTCATGGGATCGCCACTCACATAGTTTAGGTGGTGATTATTGTTGATTTGTCTCAATTGACTTAAATCCCATTCCCCTCAATGTATCATTAATTAATTTTTTTTCTAAGGGTTTATTTGAGGATTGACCAAATTCAATTATGACTTCACTTAATTAACGGATATAATTTCATTTCTAAGTCGCTGTTTTTATCAAATAATGTCTTAATGAATATGTCTATTCTTACTATTGAAAGTTTTATTCTTTACAATGACTATTGCCGCTGGACAATCAAAGTATATAGACACAAAAGGTGTTGATTTTATCCCCAGTGGAATATCTGTGAAGAGGTTTTTTAACCACTCAACCTCATTGTTAATCAACTCTAAAGCTACAAATTCTGATTCTATTGTAGATTTAGCAATTATTGTTTATTTGGTTGATTTTCAAGTAATGGCAACCCACTAAGGGTGAATGCATATTTACTTGTAGATTTTGTCTCATCTGAATTTGAGATCTAGTTAGCATCACTGTATCTTTGTAATAAAGCTAGAAATCCACTATATAAAATATTATGGTTTATGGTACCCTTCAATATTTCATTACTTTACTTAAGACAATTTAATGATCTCGATTGGGACTTTGTGTATATTTGCTCCATCTACATACAACTTAAGCTATATCAGATTGAGTATAATTTATCAAATGTATCAAACTCTCAATAATCTAAACATATTTAGATTGAGTCACACTATCACTTTTATTTTTCTTTAATTGTGAGTAGCATCATAATGAGTACTCATAGGTGTGATATTAAAATATCTAAACTTTTTAAGTAGCCTCTTAACATAATGCTCTTGTATTAGCATTAAGCCATTATAAAATCTTATGATTTTAACATCCAAAATAATATTGGCTTCTATCGAATCTTTTATATCAAATTTAGAAGTTAAAAAACATTTTGTTTTATTGACAACATCAATACATGTACCAAAAATAAGCATATCATCAACATATAAGCTAATAATCACACATTCACTATCAATAATTTTTGTATACACACATTTATCAATAGAACCACCAAGATTAAACTTTCTTTTCATGAGCAAAACCCATGCGGATATATATTAATCAATTTGTTTCCGCCTCTATTTAATCTAACTCCTTTTTTCTTTTTATTCAATTGATTTTTTATCTCAGCTTTATATTTAATAAACATGTCAAAAATTTCATCTTTATGCCTAAATAAATAAACTTTAGTATAACTAGAGTAATCGTTAATCAAGTCAGCAGAAGAACTACCATTTTCATTCAAGACATTTGAAATGTTGAGCACAAAAGGTCTCTGATTACAATAACCCTTGCCTGCAAAGACATTATTTTTTGTTATTACAATCTTGTTAGATTTGAAAAACTCTTTAATCCAACTTTGCCAAATAGTGCCACTAAAACCAAATTTGTCCTTACATTAGGAACATATAGAACATTATGCAGAGCAAGGGTTATGCCAGATATGAGTTTGAGAAAAACTTTTTTTTTACTAAGAACTTGAGTAGTTAAAAAATCATCAAGATATATTATCTCTTCTGCTTCCCTTACTAGAGTATAGGAACTAAAGGTAGTTTTGTTTGCATAAATATGTCTGGTAGCACTTGAGTCTACCACTCATTCTTTCACATTGGCCAGAATATTGGCTTGAGAAGAACCATAGCAATTATGTCTTTGGATTCATTTGCTTCAACTAAGTTAACTCTTGGATTAGTAGGTTTGTCATTTTCCATTGATCTTTTCATGCATTCTAATGCATGATGCCCTAGCTTTTCACGAACAAAACAAATACCTTTCTTTTTAAAGGTGAGATAAGTAACTTTGGATTTATAATCAGTTTTTTTTATTAGTGTACCTTTATTTGATGATGCTGGATTTTGTCTTGCACCGGATTTGCAACATTTACAATGGTGGCAACACTTGTCGAGATAGAACCATTGACAACGATGGTGGAAGTAACTACAACGACTATAACATTGTCGATATGAGAATCTATATTATCCTTAAAATCGCTAACGAAAATTGAAGTAGTTAAACAGCTTAAAGAAGTTTAAGGCATGATACACTATTCTTAAGGATAATTTGTCTCTTTGGAGTATGAAACTTGAATGCAAAAAGTGTCTTGAGATGACTATGGAGCATGTTATAGGAACGATTGTTTGGAAAATAAAAGAAATAAAAAAATTAACATTGAAAATATTGGAATTAGGAAATTAATGAGAAAACTTTGATTCTGTAACAATTTTACTTATAACGGCTGATATTTTTATTTTGGTTGATAGAATCAAAAATAAAAAACATCACTTAGGGCTAACCTACGTGTATACGCAGACTCGAAAGAGAGAATTCACATTTTCTCAAAGCTTAGCTTGATCTTGTGTGCACGAGACCGCACGAGATCACTTTTTTTTTCTAACTTTCAACAAACTTATAATGAATTTGCTTATAAAAAAACATATATTTTTAATACTTAAACAATGTAAGATAAAACCTTATGAGATAATACTATTTGTCCAATATAATTGACCGGTCATGATTTGATCGTTTCCACTCCACCCCCCACCCCCCCCCCCCTCCGCCGGGCTCCCCTAGCATCCATCAATGTCGATCAATTTGGCCACCTTAATCGACTTGGTTGGTTAAGACGTCTTTCGCAATCCAAACCTACCACACCAACCAATGCCACCCGTATGAAAATCTTCTACTTTCAATGTCAATATAAATGGATTCTTAGGATACTTGCATTATTGTGTGCCCCAAATATCTGAGCTTTCTCCTAGGCTAATTTCAATTTCTATTTGAAAACCACGAGGGAGATAGAATTTGGATCTTTCTGCACTATGGACCCGAAAACAGAAAACCTCTGGGGAACTTCCACCTTAAGAGTTGTTGATATTTCTAGCAAATGACAGATGACGTCAGATATAACAGATGTGTACCAATCATGATATGAGAATGTAAACATCAGATTGGCCCATGGACGATGCCTTGAAGCAAAAATTTGTCACGAAAACCCTGAATGAGTTGTTTCACGAGTTCATCTATCACCGGCAAACGTGACTCATTGAGATATCTCAAACAAGTTGCCATGAAATCCATTTCTTTCTAGAGTAACTGGTTTTCAGACACAATATTAACCACAGGGCCACCCATGTTTGTGCCCCACAAGACATTTAGCTTAAATCTAAAGGATACATATTCCAAATAATGTTAGTAAGGGCGATCAATCATGGCAAAGTTAACTACGTAGCAGTTTGTTTGTCAGGTAATACAATGACCTCCAATCATGATATTAAAATGCTACAGAAGCTTTTGGTTGAACAGCCAAAAGTTCCATCTAAACTATAAGAGAACCAATCTAGTCCCTATCAGCGTCTTCTATATCTTCATCTTCTGGTACCCCACGAAGATAGAGAACATTATTACATCTGCAGAAGAAAGGGCCCATGAGGTAAAAAACATAAAGTCAGTTCATTCCTTTTAAACATGCAAAACATGTAATCTAATTTTCTTCTACATACTACTCACGTCATAATCTGATGAGACATTGCTGTACTGCACTTTTCATATGGTAATGGGAAACAGGCATGGAGATGGAGGCATTCTAGTTTTAATATTCTCAAAGATCAAAGGGCGCTGAAACAATCTTGGTATGAGATAAAATCTTTTTATATTTATGCATGTCAACAACATCAAACAACCTGATACTCTAAGTAGTACCCATTCCTTGCACAACAAAACTCATATTACAACAAACATGAGACCAAAAATCAAGAAGTTAGTTGACTACGATTAAGAAATATTATGGGTGGCAATTAGATTTTCATTCCAAAAAAGATTTTGTAGGATTGGCTTGCATATAATCTGATCAATAGTAGGGTAAAATCCAAAAAACCTACTCAAATGACCCTAAAAGAACACTTTGACCCCCTTTGTTAGAAAATGATATTTATGACCTTTTAAGTCAACAGTTAGGAAAAAATAAAACCTAAAACATCATCACTCATTATATGCCAAATAGACATTTTAGAATACAAATGCCACTTGTATCATTCTCCCAATTTAGGCATATTCTCTTTGAAAAAAAAAATTGATCTGCTCATCCCTCTCCCCAAACCTTAACCAAAAAATAAAGCAGAACCTAAAGGAATTTTGCTTTATGGACCTCCTATATCTAGAAAGACTTTGAATTGCCCATGTTGTTGCCAATGAGGCTGGTGCTTTCTTTTTTTGCATCAATGGTCTGAAGATCATGTCAAAATTGGCTAGAGAGAGTGAAAGCAATCTCATAAAAGAATTTGAGGAAGCAGAGAAGAATGCACCATCTATATATTCATTGATGAAGATGATTCAATTGCTCCCAAGTGAGAGAAGACCCATGGTGAAGTTAGGGTATAGCTTTGAGTCTTATTAGTAGTAGTAACAGTTTGACTATTTTTCTGCCTCGAGAGATGCGAAGAATGGCTATTTTTTGTACCCTAGCTCTGGGATGGGACTTTCCTTTCTATTCTTCCGGACGGCTTGGCTTAGAGCTTGATCATCAGCATCACTTGTTGTAGGAGGTAATTGTATTAATGGGAGTAGTAGCAATTTACTTTTGTTAGTAAGTAGGGCATTAGAATTTTCTAAAGGAAACAAATAGGCCAAGCCAATTTGACTGAGATTAGTGGCTAGCTTCTGGATTAGATTAGTGGTGTATTTTTATTTTTGAATCAATAGGGTGGTCTTGAGGCATTTAATTAAAAATCATAAGGTTGTAATAATGTGTTCTAGACTTCTAGGGGACTCCCTATCCTTGATACTTTCAAGCTTAGCACTCCTAAGAGTCATGACTTGAAGTCTTGGATTTCTTCCTCAATGTCCACCACCATCATTATTTAAAACACAGACAAATTCTGAAAGCGATTTCTATCGTTAGATCTCGTCCAACTAGAGGGTTTTAACTGCATTGCTAAGCTTAATGTGATCGATTGAGAAGAAAATCAAGAAGCTGGTATTCTAACCAAGGATTTGAATTCCTCACCCCATGTGACATCCTACAACACAACATGCATCTCTTTATATGATCAAAAAGATGGAGTAATATAATGCATCAGCACCTAAAGTTTGGGCAAACGAGGAGCTTTGATCAAATTTTATTTGTGGAAGAAATTTAATCAAAGAATGAATAAAGCAAAATTCCTTTAGGTTCCCTTTTTTTCTGGTCAAGGTTTTCGAAAAAGGGATGAGTAGATAATTTTTTTTTTCTGAAAAGAATATACCTGAATTAACAGAATGATATAAAAAATATTTATGCCCTAAATGTCTATTTGACATATAATGGGTGATGTGGTATTGAGTTTCATTTTTTTAAAATTGTTGATTAACGGTGTAAATAGTCAAAAGGCCAAAAACATCATTTTGAAACAAAAGGGGTCAAAGTGTCATTTAAGGATGATTTGAGGGGTTTTTTGGATTTTACCCATAAATAGTATTAAAACTCATATCGCTAACAGATAACGTGCAACTGGAGGTGTGACAGCAAATTTGAGACATAGTAATAGGGGCGTAAATAAACCAATCAATTGTCAAAAAGCTCACTTTAGGCTTATCTATATTTGCTTGTTAAGGAAAATGAATGAATTTGAACAAGATTTTAAATTCAGTTAATAAAAAACTCAGATTGAACAATGATGATCTCAGCTTGTTTAAACTTGGCTTGGTTAAGTTTATTGAGCTTTAAGCTGCACAAAAGCTCTTAGCCACGAGATAAACCTTAAAACCAATAAAGAACAGGCTTAGAATCCTAGCACAAGGGAGACTTATGCCCAATTAAAGCTCTAACCAAATGGGCCCTTGACTTGTTGCCTTCAAATATTATTATTGTTATTGTTTGAAAGTGCAATCTTTCTAAAGTGCTAATGCCTGTAGTAAGGGGCCCTTTTCTTGCTTGTTAGCGCTTTAGTTTGAGGCACTAGGAGTGGTTATGTATAGAATCAATCCCTCCTTGCCTTGGTTGTTGTGTTGATGCGGGATTCATAAAAGACAATTTTTCTTCTCTTTCAAACATCAACTTTAAAACTTATTAAATATCCATTTGTAGGCACATAAAAAGGCTATTCTACAATAATAACTTTAAAAAGTTAAAAGATGATTTTTAATTCATGTCATGTGTAATTTTTAATGATATAAATTTTAAATTATGATTTGGAGATTGCTAAAAGATATTAAAGCTTAAAGTAGTCAATTTCTAATAAATAAAACAACCTATTATCAAGCTTTTATTGACCTTGTTCACAAACATTAAACGATCCTGTACAGAAAGATACATGAGATGAGCTCATCATTATTCAAGCTCAGTTTATTTGTTAACTGAACTTAAAAATCTTATTCAAATTCATTCATTTACCATGACAAACTAACACAAACAAGCATAAACCAAGCTTGTTCAAGAGCTGTTCAATGAATGATTGGTTCATTTACTCCCATCGATGTTTGAAAGAGAGAAATCAATCTCACATCAACATTACAACCCAAGCAAGGGAGGGCTGATTCTACAAATAACACCTTTTCACCTAGGATGCTTTCAACTATTAATATTTAACAGCAGCAAGCCAAGGGCTCATTTTGCTAGAGACTTCCATTGAGCAGAGGTCCTTTACAGCAGGATCCTAAGCCCTGTTTCTATTGGTTAATAGGTTTATTTGGTGGCTAATCTAAGAGCTCATTAACCTTTTGCTCAGTTTGTAAACTCAGTAAATTTTGTTGAGTCAAGCTCAAAAACAATTTTATATGTTTGTTAAAAGCCTAATTATTTATCAAGCTTGTCTAAATTTAACTAAACCGAGCCTGAATACTCAGCACTGCTTGGTTCATTTGCATTTTACAAGCCTACACAGCAGAACAGATAAACCAAGTGAGTATCCTACTCATTTTGTATCTAGGGCAATCAATTAAGTAATGTTTTCTGAAAGAGCATTTTCGTGAAGTAGTTAGCTTCATCAAACCCTTAAAGGGGATAGCAATTGAGGTCAACCTTATGGTCTTTAGTACTCAAGCAAACCAGACATGCAATATGTAACTAATATTGGGAAGGCTCAAAAAAGTTCAAGGTACAGAACCTTGTGCATTATACAAGATCAAAAGCAACATGAATTTTAAGAATATCACAAAGATTAATGAGCAAAATACATTCTCTCATAACTGAAGAGTAAGAAAAAGATGACTCCTGATATAAGATAGTGCAAACATTCAATCAACTCAAAAGATTAACATAAGAGCAATAACAATCTATTCATATAAAATAATTTCAAGCAAAAAGAAGCAAACATCTGGAAGAAATTACCTGATCAAAATCTCCCCCAGATTTCCAGTGAATTGGCCATCGACATACTCTTCAGCATTGCCAAGCTACCAAAAAACACCCATTCATTGGAATGTATTAGCAATCATGCCCATTCAACACAGAGATAAGAAAACAAATGACAAAAAAAAAAAAAGAAACTCAAATGGAATTAATCAATGGTTTTTACAAGTTCAAAAAACAATATTAAGTTTAAAATATAACAACATAGTTATATGATAATATCAATGTGGTTCCAAGTTACAAAAAAATGTATGCAATTTAGAAGTAATACTATTCTAGGATTTTAAGGCCACACCTGCAAGTTCATGTAAGAATCAACTGAGGCGAGAAAACCTGCGAAAAGCACACAATCACGCACGATGTTAGAATATCAAATACCAACAAGAAAAAAGGAACAATTTTTTTTAATGATTAAAAAAATAGAAAAGAAAAAGTGTGTACTACCTTTGTATTCCATCCCCCACTTGAGCTTCACTATAACAGTCTTTCCAGTCAAATTGTTCAAGAAAGGTTTCGGGTTAACGGGAATTGTCTACAATGTTCAAACAGATTTTAAGATTTAGCCCAAACTGTAGAACAAACATAATCTACAAATTCCTGGGATTAAGAATTGAATCTACAGGCATGTAATAGAAACTCTAATTTATCAGCAGAGATCTAAAAACACAAGTGTAGCATAGGAAACTGGATTTTTTGTGAAGAAATGCAAATTGAAAAATTAAAAACAATACTCACAGCCATTAAAGACAAAGGGAGGAAGCTTCAGTGCTGAGCGGAAAGTCGGGGCTTCGAGCCTTTTGCTTTTGCTTTCGAGAGGGTTTTAGGGTTTTTGTCTTCTTGAAATGAGCTCTCAGCGTTTGTCCTTTGTTTTTTTTGTTTACAATTTATTAGAAAAAAATGGGTTGAATCCAGGTGCCAAAGCCCAAGCCCAGGTTTTCTTTACTCCAAAGCCATTGGATTCCAAAAAGAAAAATTTAAATTTTACCCTTTTAATTAAAAGATTATATATTAATTAATAAATTAAATATTTATATATAAAATTAATAATTTTTTAAAAAAATGAAATTTAAAGTTATTCTATTATACATACATAGGTAACCAAATTTTTTAATATAATTTAATATAATACATAATAACTATCCAAATCTTGTTCAAAAATTTCAATAATGCTATATGATATAACAATCCAAAAAATTATACTTTCGAAAATCCACAAAATCTTAAATTACACGAGAATAGATAACTTCACTTCATAAACATTATCTTGGAGATTTGACCATAAGATCATTAAATCAAAATTTTCAAATTCAATTATTAAGTATCTTAATTTTAAGTCTCAATTAGAGGTGTTTATTAATTGAGTTGAGTTAGGTCAAATCCGATTGACATCTTTCAAATCTAAATTTGAATTCAGTTCCGATCTAATTCAGTGCTTTAAATTATATATTATTAAAATATTTCAAAATATTAATATTAAAATAAATTTTATATAGAATTACAATTATATATAAATACATTATTTGTTAATAATAATAATGATATCTCAAGCCTAGACATGAATGTTTAGGCAGGGTCCAGCTCGACCCAAGACATTATTATAGTAATAAATAATACATGTTTATTTAACATTAATATTAATATATTTAGAATATCAAAATATGAACATAAAATTAGTAACCAATATAACATAAGTGTGTGGGCATTCCAATTAAACTGAACTCGAGTTTGATTCTTAATGAACTCTAATCAAAACTTTCATAGTTTAAAATAATGAAAGTTGCTATAAATTTCTAAAACACTTCAACTTAAGCTTCTAGAAAAACCATCTTAATTATGAATAATCAAAATGATCATATCATCAAAATTCTAATTAAAAACATACTTATTTGTGAAATTGATAGTTGTTGAAAGAGTTTATGAAATTGAGAAAAGAACATCTTCTTTCTTTGAAGTCTATATTAATTGACTTAACTCATAATAGTAAAAAAAAAAAAAAATTGATAGTTGCCACCTTGTTTGTTGTTGTACGTTAGACACAGTTATAATTAATTTGACAGTAATTGTGTTTACTAGTGCGTCATAGGTCTTGAATTGTTAAAGCTGATTTAATTAACACATGCCCTACTCTAGTTTCTATCTGCCCTCCATGTTACGATCTCTAGTTTCTATCTACCCCCCAATATGTATCATTTCTTGTGAATTACATCATCATCATCATCCCCCCCTTTGTCTCCCTGCATTTTCTCTTTAAAAGTATTCCATCAGTTACTGTGCTTTGGCCATCTAATCCCAAGCCTGCGGAAGTCTAGGGCTTTTGCATCAAACTGAAGCAATCCTCGTCCTTGCTGATGTTTTCTAGTTTGGATAACTCATTCACGTTGTAATTATAAATTTCGGACTAAACCAGTAACCTTCATCCCAAAAAGAAAAGCAAAAATTAAGACTTACATCAGTTCAAACTTGTTAGAATATAATCAAATAAATATGGTTATCTCTACTCAAAACCACACCCCGCCATTAAAATTGTAGTCTAAATTTGATAGACCCAAGCTCATAATGCCCCCTATAACCCTTGAACGTACTTACACTTTCTCTAACTTGGATACAACATTTAAGCTATACGGGTTAATGAGAAATTAATTCTAAGAATAAATATATAGAATCTTACAAAAGTTTCAATGATATTTATTTTAAGCATATAAATTTGGGTAAATGTCATCAAGCCGTATGAGTGAATAATAGAGTAGTCCATTACTATTAGTCTAGGATGTTGCACAAAGTGCATTTATAGATATAATTTAATTTTTTTTTCTTGGGTACATGAGTATAATTACTTCATGGAGAATTGATGAGTATGATCCTCAAAGACCCAACTAACCAGAAAACTAAAGAAAAAAATTTATAGTTTGAGAGTAAAAGAGCTGAACAGTTTATGATCTGTTTCTGGCCCACTTTATGTATTATGGTAGTTCGTTTAATTGGCATGTCACGAACTAATTTTCAAACTGAACATAATAATTGATATTTTCTTGTGCTACAGAAAAATCTAAAATTCGTTCATTCCAATGCCTTGTAATTGACGTCCCAACTGTCCCTTTTACATTTGTCATCCAAGTGATTAGATGGTATCACTTTCGCATTAAAACCCTTTTGAATGTGCAAAAGAGCGAAGCAGCCTTCAACTAAAATCTTTTCCAAGTTTTCTGACTAGATAATTATTTGGGTTTTGAGAAAAGCATTCTCCAATTGCATCCAACTCATTGAATATCCCAGTGTCTGTGTGTCCAAGTATGCATGAACGTTTACATCTAATATAAGAAACTAATGAAGAAATAAATTAACAAATAATTAGACGAAATCTAATTTTATTTCAAAACTGCTATATGCAAATTGTTGAAAAATAGAATCATCGGAATGAAAGTATGTGTGAAATCTTATCTTAAATAAAATGATAAGAGAAGAAATTTTTAAGCGAGCATATGAAATTTTTGTTTTGAAATACTAGACTAACATTAGAAAAATTCATGTTTTGGAAATCTTTGATCATGGGCAAGGTTGAATGTTGAAAAGGAGTCCAAGTGGACATGTTTTCTAAGTGTATTGTTGCATATTGGAGTAAATGTATCAATATATGACCTTCATATATCGATAGATTTAATCTGGAAGGCTTTAAAAAGGAGATTTGAATAATATGTATCAATTTATAGTCCAGTGTATTGATAGATTTAGATTTTTATGACCATCTATCCATGCATATCCAAATATAATGATAGAATTTTTCTAGAAACTAATGTATCGATACATGGACACAATGTATCAATACATTTCATCAATTTTAGAAAAATAAAAAGAGTCAAATTGTATTTTCATATCTTAGTTTATAAATATGTCACATTTTTTGAAGGCTGGCAACCCTTTGTCATTTTTGCAAGATCAACCCTCAACTTTAAAGCTTTCTCAACCCATTTTTAGTCCAAATCTCCATTTTGATGATTTAAAAGCTTAGTTTTGAGTTTTTATGGAAAAGATAACATTTTTAATTTTGAAATTTTTGAATCTTGCTTTTTCCAACATTGAAAATATTATTTATGCATCTAGATTTTCTGTTGACGGTTCAAACTCAAGGTTTTGAGATTTTCCTAAGTATTTAGGCTCACCTAAGGTAAGGATTGAAGGATTTATGGATTTCTAAGCATATATTATGTTAGTAGTAGTAGATTTAAGCTAGAAAATTAGTTTTAAGTGAACATAAATAGTTTCAAAGTAGATTAGAACAATTATTATGCAATACCTAAACTAAGTATTGATTACAATAATTGCTGGATATTTAGGAATAGTTGAAACTCCAAGAATTTCTCTGGATTAGAGATCGCATATTCGTAGAAATCAACTTTCCAAGGTGAGTGATGGATGCACATTTTTAAGTATGTTATATGATAAAACTAGCATGATTTATCGACTAGTATTTATTGCATAGTTTTAATGCTATTCAAAATCTATAAATTAGATTTGTTAAGCACAAATGATTTTAACATGATTTTCAAATCTATTATGTAAGTAAATATCTTTATTTCATATTAGTTTTCAACAAGGGGGAAAAGCCCTTTGAAATGATTTTGTTCAAAGTTTCTCAATTACTCTGACCTATAAGCCAATGTGGGTAATAAGATATCTCTTTGAAAAAGTGAATGTGAATTATATAATGTTCATAAATAGTGAGAAATGTGAATGTGGATGAGGAAGTCTCCACCATTTCAAGATTCATATAAATGTCATGATTTGCTATTCAATGCTTGATCTTGGTAGGATCTTGCATGAATTTTTAATTACGTGATATGTTGATTTAAGCCCGGTACAGGGGTAATAATACTACAGGGGTCAAGATTGGTGAACATGCCATATTTTTCCCTTAGAATCTTGGTGTGGGGGTAAGAATACCATAAGGTCAAGATTAGTGAACGTGCCCTCTTTTCCTCTTATGAATTTCGGTGTGGGGGTAAGAATATCACAAGGTTAAATTGGGCAAATGTACCATTTTTTCCCTTTTTAAGCTCAATGTGAGAGTAAGAATACCATAGGAATGAATTGGGCGAAAGCACCCAGTCTCCCATTGTCTTTGTTAATGGTATATATTGACACCTTACTTGTATAATGGATATCGTGACACTTATGATTGGTGACTTGATGATTATTGTGCTTATGTGTAAATGATTATATGAATCATTATTGGATGATACATTCATGTTATGAATGAATGATGATGAATTCGTGACTTTGAGAACTCTTTTATGATTTCTCCTTGCAAATGTTTTGTAAGTTGAGCTTTATATGTTAATACCTCTTATGCAAATTGAGAATCATATGCATTTATTATGGAAATTAGAAATGAGATTTTTGTCTTTGAAAGTATTTACATGCTTATCATGTGTTTTTGTAAAGACTCTTTCCCTTGATTTGTCCCCTTCTTCATATTCACTCACAAAGTCGTTGTAACTCACCCATTATTTTTCCTTATTTTGTTTTATAGATCATAGCTTGCTTGGTTGGGTGACTTGTAAAGTAATAGCCCAGTTCATTCATGATAGGTTTGGTAGAGCCTTCTTTTCAACCTCCCAATGTTGTTACACTTCGTAGTGTGTCAAGTTTAGTTTTTGGACTATTATGTTGATAATGAATTTGGTAATGTGAATAAATGTTGATATACTCATACTTGTTTATACTTTTGCACATTATATTGAGCCTCAAATATAGCTGCATGTGGATGATAGAACTATGGTGGGTGAACCACAACAATATAAGCATGGGATGCATGTTAGACCACAATTATTATGGCATAGTGAATATTTATATGAAATATAA